TAGGCACACCGTGTCATTGTCGCGCACCGGTCAGCGATGGAGACGGAAAGACAGAGTACGAGGAAAAGTGAGAGGTCGAGTTAGTAGATAGAGAGCTGGGTAGGGCAGCTAGCCAGTTGGTTCGAGGTCCAACAGCACCCGAGTGGCTCAGGTGTAGGTCAACATGGAAGAACGTGTCGAGCGGACGACCAACCTCCTCGATGCGATGACAGACCGACGCTGCCATATGGAAGACAAAGTCAAGCAAGCCTCTACAGCTGCAGAAGACGTTAACACAGTTAAAACAAGTCTGGATCTCCTCGAGGGGAGCTGACCCCGGTTGCTTGAGGCTGGGACGCTGACCAGAACGCCGAGGAAACGGTTACAGATGTCTCCGAGCTCAACATAGACCTCGACCTGGACGATGCCTTGGTTCCTGGACTACGCCGGAAGTTTGCCATTACCGCGAGTCGGGAGATGCAGGAAGCTGTCAGAACTAGAGTCCGTGCCGCCCTCAGACAAATCCGCGAAGCCAAAGTGGTTCCAGAACAAAAGCCCGAAGGGGACAACGTTTTTTCTGGGCCGCTATGAGTGAAAGCCCAGAACGCCGCAAACGAGCCCAGTTCGCCGGCAAGGTCAAGTTAAGAGGCTCGCGGCTCATCCTGGAAAGCAAGGGGGACTCAACCTCATCCGAATCCAGGTCGAGCTCAGGACCGGCAACGTGTGGCACGATGGGGCAACAAATTCATCGGCCGTCACCACTGCCCCCCCCGTGGGGGACACCATCGGCGTCGGATGGCTCAGCCTCCCACACTAGCCCACATCAGTTTCTGGACTCATCGAACGGTGGGACGAACTGAAAAACCCCTTCATTTGAGACCGCGACACTGAGCAGTGCTTCGCCTCCTAGGAGATTGTCGCGAAGACCGAATTCACCCCCTTTGAAAACGCCTTCATCCTTTGCCTTCAAGAGGTTATCTGGGACGAGGGTAAGGCTGTGCATGAGAATGGCGACTTGCAATTGGTGGCTGGAAAGCAAAATCATAAAGACGACTGGCGAGGGACAGGCATAGTGCATACAATGCACTGGGCACACAGTCGCAACAAGCTCCTACGATGTGGGTTCACAACTACGCTACAGTCTTCGAGCATGCGTGTCTGTGTGGTTGCTGGACACCTACCCCACCACGCCACCATCGCCGAGACAGAAGACATTGCCGCATCTTTGGATGGTTCATGTCCATTCCGCTGACAAGCTTTTCCTGGGAATGGATGCCAACGAAAGTTTCAGGGGGACCACAGCGGGGAAGACCTCGTCTGATACGGGACGAGGAGAAAAGCTTTTGGAGAAGATGGCCGCAGCTTGGGCGAAAGTCCCTCAACAAGAACTTGCAGCTCCATTCTTCTTCCCGTACAATGAACAGATGAGACCGCGCAGACTCGACTACGTTGTTGTCAAAAAGCTCCTTCGCGCTGAAGGGGGTGTTTTGCAACTTCGGGAGTTTGCCAGCAGCGACCACGAGCCCGTCCTCGTTCGCCTCGAGAAGCCCGCACAGAAGATGCCCCCATCTGCACCCAAACCTTGGGGAACAAGAAGGCCCAAAGCACCCAGCGTCGTTGAGCACATTCTGGCTTCCACCGAGATTTTGACGGGGGATCCCGGCCTGACCGCAAAGCAAGCGGAAACAGATTTCCGAACAACCGCCTCGAACACAAGCAATGGAAGACAGCCAAACTGGATCGTGCTGGACAAGGGAGCTGGCCAGACAAAAAGGACGTCGATAGGGACACCTTCGATGCATCGTGGGAACTTCGCCTCCGAGCAGACGACAGATGGAGAGAGACCTTGACTTTTCGGGGGGATCTTCCACAAATGCGATGCCACTCATTGGAACCCGTTCGCAGTCGACGAATTGCAGGCTGTACGAAGCAGATGGCAAGGAGGTAAGGCATGTGGACTGGACAGCATATCGCATGAAGCCTTGAAGATCTTGGGGACCATTGAGATCTGGAGGGGGAAACACTACTCCCGATTTTCGATGGCATGCTGTATACCGCCCACATCCCCTCAAATGTCGAGCGGGGAATGACGGTGTTGCTTGCCAAGACAGGCTCCCCGGATGACTGGGGGGACACACGTCCTAAAACCCTCAGTTCCACTATTCTGAGAACATTCTCACAGCTCCTACTTGGACGGCCTTTCTACGCGCCTGGGGCAGACAACTTTGAGACAGGGGGGGCCCATCCAAGTGCATGACAGTCCACCGCAGGATGCAATAACCCCCCAGTGGTAACACTGATGTGGAAACCCTGCGCTCTCGCCTGCAGCGAGCAGACGGATGGCCGCCCAGCGACTTGCCCATCCTCCTGGAGGCTACAATGAACCTCCTCCGCGCTGTCTCAACTCATCCCGGAAAACCAGCGGGGACTGCCTGGAGGACCCCGCACCACGGTGGCAACACGACCGGCACCACGGGCTGCGGGACTCAAGACGAGCAACGGCTCCACCATCCCGAGGAGTGTGGAGACCAGAGTGACCGCGCTGACCTTCGCCAGAGTGGAGCAAGCAAAGCCGAAAGCCATCGCCGCGGACGATTCTGGGCTGCGCATGAACGCAGCCATGGAGCATAACGGAGCGGGGGAAGCCTTCGACTCCTGCGAGAGTAATTAGTACTGAGGGGGACTGAGCTTCGTTGAATGCCCGCCGGGTAGCTAGGTAGTTGGACAACACATAACCCCGTTCGCTACTGAGGTACCTGAGCTGTTCAGTTTTTTTGCGCTGTCTCAGCCGTTTCCCCACTGCAGCAGTTCCTTTTCGCATGTTTACTTTGCCACTGACGAACAGCCCAGGTTACTCACTGTGGGGGAAAGCGAACACATCTGCTTGAAGCCTCCCACGCTTGAGGTTTTCCGTAAAGTCCAAAGAGCCATAAAGAAAGCGTTTCATGAGCCTCGTTATGCCAGCCCTGATCTTAGAGATGCTCTTCGGGGGCATCGGCTGCATTTCGGTTTTCGTGCTCTCACTGCTACCTTTGCTGCTGCCAGGAGAGTCCTTGACAAGGAGCCTGCAAGGCTCATTCCTGGTCTTTGGGACAGGAACCTTGGTTAGTGTGCTGCCATTCATGCCATGCTTAAACGGTATGGATGGGAGCTCATGAGTCCATGGCATTGGAAGCATAGCATAACGCATGCTTCTGTTTCTTTGAACAAGAGTAGTCCTCACTGGTGTTCCAGTGCTGAGTCCGTTCTACATCAGTTGCGTGAAGGCTTCCGTGCGCATTTCTGGAATGAATGGCAAAATTCGCAACGTAACGACAACTTGTGCTGCCCTGTCATGGATTACAACTCTCAGCGATTCAAGCTCGCACTCAAGCAAGTGTCGGGCTGCCCAGATCGCTTTGCCGTTTTGACTGGTGCTTACTGCAGTCCTGCTGCCTATGGTGTTGCTACTAGCATCAATGATCTGTGTCCGTTTTGCAAGATGGTTGCAGGACACAGTGCTCATACTTTTTGGGCTTGTGCTGAAATGAGCGACGGCAGACCTCGCCCTGCTGAGGCACTTCAAGCAAGACTTGGGTGGCCTCGCGGCCTTCAGCCGTCTTATGACGAAGCCGTTCTTGCATGGTTGGTGCCTGCGAGAAAAGCAGTTCTTTCCCATCGCTACGGCGATGTCACTTGATTGCGTGTGAGAAAGGCTGTTTTGCCCCATCGCTACGGCGATGTTGCTTGATTCACTGTAGTCTGTGCCATGCAAGTATGTTTTCTTGCATTTCCTTGATGACGATGCATCTCCGAAGCTTCCACTTTCCAGCCGTCTTGAGAATGTCTTGCATTCAGTGTCAGCGCGTTTCGTCTTCCTACGCGCTCTTCTTCCCCGACGGCGTCTTCACGAGTGGGAGTTCGCCGAGTTCAAGAACAGCGAACACATCTTCACGAGTGGGAGTTCGTCGAGTACAAGAACAGCGAACACATCTTCTTTTCCTTACTCGCTAATTATCGTTTCTAGTTTGTTACGACCGTTGTTTTTGGCAGACTCAAACCGCAAGAGAACCGCACTACACACGGTGGACAGCAAAGAAACACCGACATGTAGCCTTTTCTGCTCGCAGAATGCGCGGCCCTCACCTCCCCAGCACTTGTTGTCTTGCCTTAGAGGGTTTTAACCACGTAGCCCGGGGACAGGCCACTGACATCCAGCAAACCTTTAGGCCTCGGCACGTTCGAAGAAAACGGGCGGGGAGATCATATTCTCTACTCCTTACATGCCTTTGGTTTGCATTGTTCACTTGTTGTCTGGGAACTTCCGCTTTCAGTGCCATGCCGAAATGAGGGGAACAACTGCAACTCCGTTCTTCACCTTTTTCTAGAGGCATTCTGGTGGGGCCCCGTTAATGGTTGACGAAATCGGGGGACCACTATGCCACCACGATGTAACGTGTCTCAGCTGAGAGCCGGGGTCCTTTCTTTGGTAGCTCGTTTACTTGCGGTTTGCTCACTCACCACGACCCGGATCTCCGCTGTCATCCGACTCTCCAAATACAGTGCTGAGCTAGTTGCGCATTGGGCTGATCTTTATCACTTGTGCACAGTTGTTTTGTACTCAAGTCATCCTCGCTTGTGGGCATAGATCCTTAGCCATGCGAGAGGGAAAAAATACAGTGCTGAGGGGAACACAGCTTAATGGTGTCTTGCATGTTTCTGAGATCCCATACCCTCGTACCTGCGTGGTCCAAGTTCTTGCTTAGGTTCGTGAGGCTTGTCGACAGATGCGAGCATTGGTGTAGGTCCTCGGGCCAGGCCATACCCCCTGCAAGCAAGCAAGCAAGCAAGCAAGCAAGCAAGCAAGAGCGAGCTAGACGGTGAACGAGGGGGAGAAAGGAAGCAACAGCTTGAGGAACGTCTATCTCTGCCCAGAGTGTCTGCGTGTCAGTGTTGTCAAGCACTGAAGCAGGTCTCAACCACTTCAGGGGCTTGTACTGAGCGCTGCACTGAGGGCGTCGTCGGACATCGATGGCAGCCCAATGCCGGCAGCCTTTCACCATACGCAGCCCAACCGAAGCTTCAGTGGATACACTCCCGTTCTGTTTGAGCTTTGCTCCCCGGAACATTGAAGACCAGCGAAGACCACAGTTTCCCCCCACGATTGTGCGCTATGCTTGCATGAGGAGTACGATGTCCCTCAACCTCGATGAAGTGCTGAGATCCGAATTCCGTGCAGCCTACGACCAGGCGTCAGTGCTGGGGAGTGTTCAGGGCTAGATTCTGCGGTTGAGGATAGAAGCTGCCTTTCAAGGGGTTGGCGATTGACTTGCAGCCACACCTACCAACCGGCATCCAAGCTCTCCACTCTCTTGTCGGAGTCAGCAGGATGCGCTCCATGAGTCCAGGAATGCATTTGCACTTGTATGATGGCGAGGCGGAAGCAAACAAGCAGCATTCCGATCTCTCTGATGTCTTCAGCAATGCTTCTCGGCTGCGGCCTGTTCAAAACTGTCACTGGTAACATGTCTTAGAACAAAGAAAGAGGCATTGCTAATTAGTCTGCCTGGTAAAGTTGTGTTTCGATTGCACGTGTTCCTAGGTTCTGCTTCCCTTGGCAGTTCTTGTGACATTCTTTCTCATCATAACTCATGCCGAGTTGCATTGTCTTGATTCTTTTTGGTTGTGACGTTCACTGGAGCCGCGTATAACCCTTGACTACCGAGACCTGAGCCCTTCGGTCGTGCCACGAACGCTGCAAATTCATTGACCGTTCACGCCGAGCATGCCAAGGAATCTGGCCTTGTGGAGCATTGCCGCTGGGATGACTGAGCCGCATATATATATATATATAACTGTTTCGGCAAGCTCGAGTGCATTGGCTTCAGTGCTTTACGGACTCGGGAGGGCGTTCGACCTTCATCCCATCGACCCGACGAGTCACGGGAGGAATGTGCGAAGCACGTGTTGCAGGTGACTTCCTGTCGTTTCCAGTCCTATTGCAATGCTGTCTCTGCAGTGCATCAAGGAGCTCAGCCTTGAGCTCCGGCCATGGGGTTCTGACAGGACTGCATGAAGTATTCACCATAATCCTCTTGAGCTGCTGAAAGCCACTCCAATGGGCCGTGCAGAAGGCCTGCTCGTGCCTGCTAAGGTTCACAAGTCATAGACAGCCAGCTCTTCATGCTCGTATTCTTGATCCTGACGGCCTTTCTGCCGAACACATGACGACAGAGAAGGAGAGAGAGAGAGAGATAGATAGATAGATAGATAGATAGATAGATAGATAGATAGAGAGTGTGGCGCAACGAGCCCCTTGCACCTGAAGGAAGAAGAAGAGTGAGAAGGGTCAATAAAAAGTCAAGTTCTGGGATCGAGCGTTGATGGTACATGGGGACACTTCGTGCGAGTTGGGAAGAGTTGATGAGCTGCTTGCAAACCCAAATGCGCCAGTACGCGTCATAGGGATTCATCAATGTCCAATCCTACAGCCGCAAAGGAAATCCCATTGTTTCAGAGTCGCTCCTGATACTGAGTCCCTGCAAAGAGCAGTTTTCCGGAAGTAAAGACTCTAGTGGCAGTGCCAGGTCTACGCGCTGTTTGCAACAGCCCCTCGGAAGTCCAATAGTTACCGGCATGGAAGCTATTGGGTTTGCATTGGCTAGACAGTTGCCGGCAGTGTCAGGATTTTCAGATGAAAGCTGCGTCCTGTTTACTTTCTTGTGCGCGAGCAGCAACTTGTATCCAGCAAATTCACCAAAAAAACCTTGCACCCCGCTCACTGTGCTTTCTTTAGCATCTGTGCTTGCAAGAGTTCACTATCGCACAATGATGCTTTTGCCCACCGTCCCGTCAGTCGCAAGCCGCCCTTCCCCGCAGGACTTGGATACCCTCTTTGGTACTGTGGACTCGAGATATGTGCTGAGCATCGTCACCACGGTGGTGTTCCTCTTGTTTGGAGTCGAGCCCGGGCGACGAAAGGGGTGATTCACCACATCAGCACCCTCGCTGGTGCACGATGGCATTTTCGCAGGCTTCTTTCTGCAGGGTAGTGACAACTGCGACCATCCAAGGAGCTGCTGCTGCTGAGAGGCTTGGCACGGTTTGAGCATGAAGGTTCGTCTCGAGGTGGGCAGTACAGAATCTTTTGTAATCTGCCCCAAGAAAGGCTGTTTCTGCTCGGTTCAAGAGTCATGGGGCAGTCGAAAGCGGCCGATGCATGGCCAAGGTTTGTTCAAGTATGACTATGCGTTCCGAGCCTTCTTCTGGCTGGACCTGGTCGCTTTGCACCTCCTCTATGTGCTATGTGCGGCTTTTTAATCTTTCGATAGACGGGCTGTGCTATATCAGGTCAGTTCTCTCTACAGAATGCTGTGAGGGCTCCTATTCATCAACAGATGGTTTGGCTGCTAAGACTTCGCGGTTTTCAAGGCTGCGGCAGGAGGGCGGGTTTGGCTGTTTGACCAAACATGTGAAAGGCTTTACAGTTGTTCCATATCGCTCGTGCTTGGCTTCTGCACGGTGCTTAGGAAGTAGGATGGAACCATCTGTGCCTTATGCCTTCGGGGGTCAAAGAGTTCGAAGAGCCAACTTCTGTTCTCAGCACTACCATATACTCAGAGTTGTCCACCTTGGCTACCCCAAACAGGAGGTGAAGGCTTCCAGAATCAGAAACCCGAACCGGGGGCCTTGCGGACTCACAGTGAGGTTTCCAGACTCTCGAATTCCTTTGAGATACATAAGGCTATCTCACAAAGCCCAACATCACATTCCTGCCACCGCCCGGGCCGTGAAGAAACTGTTGAAAAAGGGCCTGCGGTCTGCTTGGCCAAGATCGAAAGTACGATTTGCATGTGCAACGCTCCGTGCACGATGAGCCGGGGTAGCAGCTGCAAGTTGTCCCGGTAGCTAGTCTACGGGAAACACACGACTCTAAGAGGAACAACAGACAAGTGGTGTGACGAGATTCTCATGGGGTGAAGGTTCAGAGTATCACAACGTATCCCTGGCGGGAATGGGCTCTGAGACGACATGTGTCGCCTGCTAAGGGTGTCGCTGTTACCTGAAACGTGTCTCGGCCAGCAAGCTGGGCTCGTGCGGAGCACAGAAGTTTTCGGAAAAACTTTCGGACAGACTTAGGCTTTCAGGCTGGATGGGAATAGATGGGATGACCACAGCCACGGCATTCCACACGGGTCACGTGCTGCCCCATGGCCCCCAAAGCTGAAGTAATCGTAACCATAGCCTCGGGCATTGCATTCTGAAGGTGGTTTGTGCAGCAGCTCTTTGCCAGTGATAGCCTGGTGGCTGCCCGCTCCACCCGCATGATGAAGGCGCTGCGGACCGTCTCGAATTGGGCCGTTTTCAAGGGAATACAAAGTGTTTGCGAGATGTGATGCTCCGAGCAATGCCATGCTGTGCAGAATCTTCGATGTGTCATTATGCCAGTCTTAGGGGTGCTCCTTGATCACTGGGTCGGGGGTGCGGCGAGGGCCCTGTGACCATTTCGGTTAATCCTCGTGGCGGCGGGTGTTGACGCACACGCTTCCAGAAAAGCCGCGAATCTTCTTTGAAAGAAACCATAGATTCCAGGTGCCTCAGGGATTTTCAGAAGACGGCCGAAAACGACGTCTGCTGTTGAGCAAGACCAGAGTCCTGAAGCAACTGCGTGGGTTGGCCAAAACCCATTGGCATCTTTCAAGGTAAGTGTTCCAAACCACAAGCCGCGGTTCCGGACCGTCATGGTTTGAAGTGTTGCCTTATCCGTGCGACAGGCAATCCGCTTGGTCATTCGCTCCTCCAAGGCTGGGAATGCCGGGGTGGCCCTGCACTGCCTGAGGTTGTGAGTCGGGACCGCTGTGTCGGGGTTCGGCATCCTTTGGCCGTTTCTTTGGTTTGGGTTCAGGCGTTGGGGTACGGGACATGGGTGCTGAGGCGGACCCTGTTGCAGCAATTCTCGATCTTGATGTTCTTCCTTCAACGATTGGTTCCTGAAGCAGCAAGAACCGCTTTACGAGGCACCACCGAGCGATCCTACGAACAGGCAACCGTGGCATCACACTTCCCCAAAAGGCCTTTTGCCAAAAGCATTACCGTTGCAGAGTCCTGCCCATGCTTCGCTCTAGCTTGCGGAAAGCTGCGAAGCAGTCAGCGGCAGTCGCTTCTGGATCCGAAGCGAAAATTTCAAGTGTTTGAGGCTAAAGCCTAAAGCTGCAAGCGTGAGGGCATCACTTCGAAAAACATTGTGCCGGCAAACTCATGATGCAGGCGACAAGACTGAATCGCTTCACAAGGATGGCACCTCGTCTGCTCGGGATGTAAATTCTGAGGTACAGGCCAGGTCTTCTCATGTCAATTCTACTGTTCCCTCTCCGTACTTGTGCCAGTCTACATTTGAGCATGGTAATCTTGTCAGCTGCTTCATGGCCTTCAAGGCTCTTACAGGAGACATACTGTTGATAATGTTGTCACGAGTTCGCGAAATCTGCAAGATTGTCCCGATGCGTTCTCTTCAGGCTAAGTTCGGTACCGCGAGCTTTTCATGACCCAGGTTTCATCCGCGGCAGTCTTTCACACATCTCGACACCTCTCTGTGACCCTTAGAAACCCTTAGCGTTTGGAGCGCTGGCATGTGTCATAGCGCCTGCACAGTACGGATTGCTCGGGCAGAGATTCCGGAGGGGTTCCCACTATTGTTCCTCCCTCTTTTGTTTTTCATGTCCCACGATTGTTGAGATATCATGTTAGCATGCACTGTGACCATTACCAAAGTACTGATATGCTTCCCGTCGTAATCTTCTTCATCATAATATAGACGTTATCAGTATCACCACCAGCACCACCAGCACCAGCACCAGCACCAGCACCAGCACCAGCACCAGCACCAGCACCAGCACCAGCACCACCACCGCCACCGCCACCGCCACCGCCACCGCCACCGCCACCGCCACCGCCACCGCCACCGCCATCATCTTCATCTTCTTCCCAATCTTTTAGATGATGTTCGTTGCCATCGTGCTTTTCTTTTTATCGTCTATACGGAGTGAAGTATTGCTGCGATCCTCTCCGCGCTTTGTCAAGTTTAGTGGGTTTGCAAGCAAGCGGGCAAGCAGCCCAGACAGCTAGCTCGAGGGTTGATGCCGTTCAAGCTGCGGGCAGAGATGGTTCCCCGATGTTTCCTGACTGCAGCTCAGCTAAAGCACGACTTTCTGATCCTCATGCGACCGAGGTCAGAGTGTCGGCCATGCTCCCACGGCTCTTTCAGGCCAGGCCCTTCTTTCGTCAGCAGGGTCTCAACGCACTAAACAGACACATCAGCAGCCTGCACATGTGCTGCCGGTAGCTAGTCCTGTTTCCACGTTGTCGCAGCAACTGTCAGTCTCTTGCTCTTTTGCATGATGTCGTCTTCCGATCTCAGCGGCTCCAGCACTGACTTGCCTGTTTTCGTCGGTTTGGGGTTTGTATATGCAAAAGGTATAACCTGGTGGCTTGCAGGATGCCTCCTCCAGGAATCCAGGTCGCAAGGCGAAGGAAGTAAATTATTTTCACAGACATTGCAACTCCGATCGCCCCCCCCCCGACAAAACTTCCAAACTCTGGTCATGTGTATCCAGCACTTCAGGCACGGTTCTGGTTTCCGAAAGTGGAGTCCTCACTGCCTCTCAACCATTCTCAACCTGTGGAGAAGGCTACCCTGTTTTCCATGGCGGTGCGAGTGATTGTGCATAATAGTGGCCATGGCCATCACAGCCAAAATAGAGTGTGCCAGGGGGAGCCTTAGAACCCCAGTCACAGCGTCTTTGTTTCTGCACAGGCTGCTACCAGGAAGCCAGGGCCTCAGTGTTGCAGCGCATGTGGAACAGGGGTTCCCCCGCCGGACAGTGCTGGCCATGGCCTACGAAAGTACCGGACGCAAGGACTAAAGCTAATCAGTCGTCCTTGCACACGGCATTCACCTAGAGATCGCTTGCATACATTTTGTTCATCTTCTTGCTTTGCTCACGAAGCAGTATTGGGAGATACTTGTACCACGAGTCTATACCAAGCGAATTCGACCGATGATCGAGGGCCTCGACCCTTGAATAGGGTCGAGCACTTCGCAAGTCGTGCTGACTTGCTCGTTCGAGTTCTGTCGAAGTAGTTCTTTGAAAATCTAACATAGAATGTGTGCCCGAAGCTTCTCGCCGTTGCCCAGCCTCGAAAAAACTGGAGTCGCACTCTGCAGGCCAGAAGACAGTGGGAAAGATGAAGCTTGGCAAATAGGAGTCTGCAGATGGCGAGTGAAGCATGTCCAACAGTGCCATCTACTTCCAAACTGGGATGCATCATGACTACACGCCCCACTATAGCTTGCTAATCGATGATGCCAGAAGCGATTGTGGCAACCGAGGGGGAAATGCGACAGTTTTTGCACCCAGGTCGAAGCTCTGCTCGACCGTAAGCTGCACCGCATCTTTGTATACCTAGCGCCTGGCAAGCACTTTGAAGAAAGTGGCTTTTCCTGCAGGGGTTCAGCGACTTTGCCCATATCTGGTGTGGTCTGTTCTACAGTATGTGCAATGCAGAGAGAGCACAAGAATATGAAGCGGCGGCCACTCAAATCCAAGTCATCCAATCTTCGTGCTTGTGGGCATCCTTCTCAGCCATGCGATTGGGAAAAATCTTCGTGTTGTCTGGCAGGGCCACATTTGATGAAATTGAATTTTGCCTTCTGTGGCTAAGGGCTGAGCTTTTCCGACATCGCAACGTTCTTGAAATAGTGTAGCCTTTGCACATGTTGGGGGGCTTCAGGGAGTTTGCATTTTACTCTGTATGCATAAGTTACTGGACTGTGTGTAGCAGCGTAGCATCCATGATGATTCGTGGTTGTGGAGGCTGCAATTTCATTCAGCAGTTTACCTGCGAGCTGGGTGTGCTCACGAACACCTCATTTGTGACTAATTTGAAGACCGTGGTGAGTGATGTTCCCGGCTGTTCCCGGCTGTTCCAGGATTCCAGGGCTCCATGTGGCCCACGAGCTGCTTTTTGTAGCCATTCAGAGAGAGGATGTATAGATGTCCGTCACACAAGACCAAATGAGTTTGCGTTTGTGCACTTAACTCCCCACACTCACTCCCTACGCTCAACATGCTCGGCTCTGCCACCGAGCACTTTGTGTCTTAACCAGCTGCCGGCAGCAGCTTCATGCAAGCCTGGGCCAGATTTCCGATTCGTTTATGACTCCAGCTCTTGATGTCCGTTCTGCCGTACCGTGCAGGTCAGGTTGACTGATGAGCTTCTCTTGCTCAAGAGGTCTATGAGTCCGCCTTTCCCGTCTTCCTTGTCTCGGTGGCAGGTCTCCGATCCTGATGGTCTAGTCAAGTCACAGTCACCGCTGGGCCGTTGGTCATCGATCATGAACCTAACCCGAGGACAAAGATCAAGATGGAATGGTCAGCGCGGCCCTGGTGGATGTGATCGTGCGCAGAATCTTGCGCAAGAAGAGACCAAGGTTTCTTGGTATGAGTTCCGAGCTTTCGGGGCTTCGGTGGTGCTGCGATTCTTATTTTCAGTGTTCGGCCTTCATGCCAGACGGGCCCGTTCTCCAGTGCAACGGATCCGTTCTGCACAGGCATTCTTCCTGAGTTCTCTTGCTGGTTCTACTTTGGAGGATCCTATTCTTGTGCCAGTCATTCAGACCGTGCCTCACCATCGTCGTGCCGCTAGCGACGGACATGTTGGTGATCCCAGGCGCAGTCTCACACGGATGCTCACCAGGACCGGCATTCTCGGGCGGGGCACGGTTGCTAATTGACACATTTACAGGTCCAGGTGTTCTGGGTTCTGGTTTGTGCTCAAACGGTTCCACGAACTCCACCGTGAGCATGTCTGCTGTCATTCGACCATGAGAAGCAATACAAGACACAAGGCGCTGTACAGAGAACCACTCCGGAGCCAACAGGAATCTTCCGGCTGTACCCGCCCTCCGGCGGGAAAACTCCGGCGTCTCAGATGTTGGCGGCGTCACTCGTTGCCCGATCAGGGTCTCTGGCACTCTTTGGCTGGTCACAGAAGGCACTGCAGTATGCCATGTCGTATGCATGGGTTTCTGTCTTTTCGAAAGCAAGGGGGCTCCCGGGACGCGGAGAGAACTACCGTGCCATACCATGCCTCAACTGCCCTGCGCTGCTGTGCTTGGTCTCCCAGGATGCAGTAAACGTTTGAGACATCATTCGGCAAAGTCGGAATCATTTCCGCTTTATTTCATGGCTCTTTCCACTCGGTTCCTCACGGTTCCGAGAAGTCTGCGAGGGGCCCCGGCGGCAGGTACTGTAGAGACTACGTATGTCGTTATGTTGGAATCCTTGTTGCTTGTTTTGTGTATTATGGTAGATGCTACAGACTCAATGCTTGTTTGCCTAATGTTGATAGTTTTAAGCTTTGTTGGTTGTTTGGATGCTGTCTGATATTGTTCTTCTGCATTTGTTGTTCCAACTCTTTGTGCATGCACTCATGCATGTACATACATAGGTATGCATGCATGCATGTATGCATGTATGTCTGTGTATGTATGTGTATGTATGTATGCATGTATGTATGTATGTGTATGTATGTGTATGTTTTTGTATGTATGCGTATGTATGTATGTATGTATGTATGTATGTATGCGTGCGTGCGTAGATATGTACGCATATATGTATGTATATATATATAGATATAGATATAGATATAGATATAGATATAGATATAGATATAGACATAGGCATAGACATAGACATAGACATAGACATAGACATAGACATAGATATAGATATAGATATAGATATAGATATAAACAGATATATATATATATGTATATATGTGTGTGTGTGTGTGCGTGTGTGCCGAAAAACTATTTATGTCTTCATGAAACAGGCATACATGCGGCAGACAAAACATGTCTGCAAGCCATCTGTGAGTGCATGTGTGCACAAAGGTATGTACATGTGTGTATATATATATATAATGTATATGTATGTATATATATATATCATTATATCCGTACATATTGCGATGTGTGTGCGTGCATGTATGCAGGCGTAAGAAATTTGCGCATGCAAGCAGTAAGCCACGTAAACGCATAAACACACATACACTTGCATGCATGCACAGATACATACATTTTAGCACTCGCACTCGACGCATCAGGCGAGGTGTAGGGGAAGGTTCCTCTACAGATACATACATACATACATACATACATACATACATTTTTTTAGCACTCGCGCTCGACAAGTCAGGCGAGGTGTAGGGGGAACCAGA